GGGAGTGGGCGGCATACAAGACAAATAAATAAATAAATAAATAAAATCTAATATTTGCCTTTTTCTCATAGCACCAAATCATAGGTGGCTGTGTTACCTAAATAGCATCTGTAAAACATCAATTGTTCAATTCTTTACTAAAATTTATTATTTAACTTATGCTTTGCTGAAGCAACCTACAACACTTTGCAGATTACTAAACATTTGAACTAGAGCATATATCCTTATAGTAGTGATATTTGCCACTTGTAATGTTGACACAAAAAGATAGGAGATGGTCCAAGCAGTTTTAACATTACCTACAGCTATCCTTGCTTAATTCTGGCAGTTGGGACCAGAATTTCCATTGCTAAGTAATGTGATTGTAAAGTGCACGGTCAGGTAATCACACCGCATAGCTACAGCAATCCCTACATTCCCTCTTGCTATAATTGAGGAAAGTGGGTCATTATGTCAGTACCACCTTGCAACTTCCTGCCAGCTTCCAACAACTAAAGTCAATGGGGAAGCCAGCAGGAAGCCACAAGTCCCAAGGCAGCTTGCAAGTAGGCCAGCAGGCAGATAAATGGCAGCTGCTGGATGAAGGAAGGTGCATGAGGATGCAGAAGTGGCTGGGAAGGCACTGCACAAGGGCAACAAGTTCAAGAAGAGAGTACATGTGGGAGAATAACAGAATAACAGAGTTGGAAGGGACCTTGGAGGGCTTCTAGTACAATCCCCTGGAGAGACTTACCCAAACAACCTGTGACTTTCCTTGCTGGCTTCCCTGAAATTACTTCTCGGAAGCCGAAGAAAGCTTACATATCACAATCATGTGACTGCAGGATGATGCAGATAAGTGTGAGCTGATTGGCAAGTGATGAGATCGTGATCATGTGTGACTAAGGGCTGCTGAGCAGTTGGGACTTCAAGGACCAGTTGTAACCACCACTCATTCAGTGCTGTCATAGCTTCAAATGATCACTGAATGAGTTATTGTTAACTAAGGACCACCTGAACATATTCCAGAAAACATTATCTTTCTTTTCAGACTTATTTAAAAGAGGACTAGAAGAAAATGACATTATAATTAACTTTGAAAAGAAAAGGTAATTTTAGATATTCACTGCCCCAAACATCCTCTATTTTTTCCAAAAGTTTCTAAAGTAATGATTATACAAAGTCGCTAAAACACAGACCAAATAAAATAGAAAAATGTGGGTCACAGCATTACCACCAGACATATTCGTAACTGTAGACCTCAATGGAATCTTCATGGAGAGAAGTATGCAGTGGAGTACCCCAAGGCTCTGTTTTAGGCCCAGTACTCTTCAACATCTTCATCAATGACTTGGATGAGGGGATAGATGGACAACTCATCAAATTTGCAGATGACACCAAGCTGGCAGCAATTGCCAACATTCCAGAAGACAGGCTTAAGATACAAAAGGATCTTGGCAAACTTGAACATTGGGAGCTATTTAACAAAATGAAATTTAATGGTGAAAAAAGTAAGGCTCTACATTTAGGCAAGAAAAACAAAATGCAGAGGTACAGTATATATGGTACCTTGCTCAATAATAGTAAAGAAAAGTAAATGTGAGAGAGATCCTGGAGTCCTAGTGGACAACCATTTAAATATGAGCCAGCACTGTGCAGCAGCTGCCAAAAAGCCAACACAGTTCTAGGCTGCATAAACAGAGGGCTAGAATCAAGATCACGTGATGTGTTAATACCACTCTATAGTGCCTTAGTAAGGTCACATTTGGAATACTGCATTCAGTTTTGGTCACCACGATGTAGAAAAGATGTTGAGATTCTGGAAAAAGTGCAAAGAAGAGCAATTAAGATGATTAGGGGACTGGAAGCTAACACATATGAAGAACAGTTGCAGGAACTGGGTATGTCTAGTTTAATGAAAAGAAGGACTAGGGGAGGCATGATAACAGTGTTCCAATATCTGTGGGGCTGCAACAAAGAAGAGGGAGTTAGGCTGTTCTCCAAAGCACCTGAGGGTAGGAAAAGAAGCAATGGGTGGAAACTGGTCAAGGAGAGAAGCAACTTAGAGCTAAGGAGAAATTTCCTGACAGTTAGAACAATTAATCAGTGGAACAACTTGCCTCCAGAAATTGTGAATGCTCCAACACTGAACATTTTTAAGAAGATGATGGATAACCATTTGTGTGAAGTGGTGTAGGGTTTCCTGCCTGAGCATGGGGTTGGACTAGAAGACCTCCAAGGTCCCTTCCAACTCAGTTATTCTATTCTATTCTATATGCTTTTATCCTTTTCTATTTTATATAGGCACTCTAACAAATCTTAGAGCTGTGTTTCTCACCTTAGTATCTTTTAGATAAGTGGGCTTCAACGCCCAAAGTTCTTAAAGTCCCTATATCTTAAAGATGCTAAGATTGAGAAATAATGTCTAAGAGAATCCCCATACATATACTTTAATGTACTTTTATATATTAAGCATGTGCAGGAAGTCAACACATGTATATGTGGGAATGGCAGCTCAAGAAATTATACTTAAATTTCTGGTGCTCATGAATTTCTGTCTTTAGCTTATGAAGAAAGCATATTTGTTTTTATTTCCTGTATTCAATAACCCCAACAAAGCAATAAAATAAAGTTACATACATTTCTTTTTGCAACTCCAGCACTACCATTACAATAAAACCCACTGAAACTTTGCAGCAATAGTTGAGATACTAAAGAAAAATAATTTAGCTTGCCCAACCAGAGGTACAGTGTAATTCAAGGAGAAAAAAAGGCACGTTAACCCAAGATGATCCCCCTGCTTCATGACTTTCAATTTAAATCAAACAAGATCCATTGACTGTATGACACAATCTGCTGAATCAGGTTAGTTTGAAAAATGCCACGCCTTTCTGCCATAACATAAGTTCTCTGAACTTGTTGAACAATTCTACTGGCTCAGCCAATTTGATTCTGGTGATACTACAGCAAATCCAACAACTGGAAAAAAAATTGCATTAATAACTTACATGCCTATCACTACTAATAAATCATTCCTGGCCTTCCTTTTTTTTATAACTGAAAATCCAATACACTTGAAACAATTTCAGCTAAAGTACATTTGTACTTTATTTTGATTGTTATTCAACACAATCAATACCATACAAATGAATATACAACATAAAAATCTTCAGAAGTCAGGTAGAATACTCACTTAAAACGAACCCTCCTTGAAAATTTCCAAACAAATTCTGCTATACTATACAATACTGTACTATGCAGCTGTGTTTATTTACTGAATCTCTCTGTCCAATTTCATCCACATACAGACCACATCCATCTATGCATCCACCTTTTTCACAGGTCAGGGAAACCCCTGCAATTTTGACTATTAGCATATCAAGCTGATCAGTACAAACTAATATTAAGACAATGCCTATAGTCAGAATGACTTGATTCAAATCCTCTAGTTCGCTTTTAGCAACTTCTCCCTCCCTAAGTATTACCTTACTTAGTTAGCATAATTCTTTCTAAACAGTAACAAATCTATCATTCAGATCACACATTACACTAAGCCATTATGTTACATTACACTAAGCCATGATGTTTGGTTTTGCCTACGTGTGAATCCGGGTTCTATGGTTGCATTAATCGCAGATGATGGCTTAAAACAATATCAAATTCAACCAGTTGTGGTTTACGTAACAAAATATGGGGAAGCCAATGATAGGTTGTGTCTGCTACGACGACCACAACTCTGCAATAACAAAAGCAGGATGTTCCTCTGAAAACAATCCTCGGTGCTATAAAGTAAAGTTAAGAGAAGGGAGTTGATGGGAGAAATGTTTTCCCACCTGTACATTTCACTCAAACCCTTAGCAGAAGGCTGAGGAATAAAATAAAGTACATTAAAAAGGGAAAGGAGATGCCCAAAACAGAGTTGAGGGGACGCCTGCGCCGGACCGAAGTGACAAGGTGGGAAAAGAAAGGCAGAAGTTCAATGCAGAGGCTCCGTGCCTTGGACTCCGGCCAAGGAGCTCCCAAAACATGAGCCCTCCCACCGCGAAGACGAAGCGAGAACATTCCCGCCGGCGAAGGAACCCCTCCCCCCCTCACAATTCCACCCTCACAACCCTCGTTACCTCGAAACAGGGGCGCGCGCTCGAATCCGCCGTCGATCTCATGTAGGGGGAAAAAAAACCTCTCCGCTTCCGATTCTGACCATGCGCGTTCGCAGCGCTCACCCAGCAGCCGCTCCCGCTTGTCAAACTACCTTCGCAAACATCCGACTCTGAACCGGAAAACGAACCCGTTTCCATAGAAACCCCTTTCCTCCCGCGCTTAACGTCAGGCGTGTGAAAGGAATACTTGCCCGGGTGCAAACCGAGGCTCGTGGAGTGGGCCGTTCCGCTTCCTAATAGGGTGCGAGAAAGGCGCGGGCTTAAGCCGGGGTTTTCTTATCCGTGTGTGCGTGTTGTGTGGGGGCCGTAGTTTGCTGCGCTGACCGTCCTTTTCTTGCAGGTCAACCTTCTGAATATGCACGGCAAGTTTCCCTTCTGCCCGGCGTGGCACCTTCCTCGGGGACTGGCCCTGGGACCGTCGCTGTCCTCGGAGAAGGGTCTGGGAGTATGGTGTGTGGGGCATGCTCTGGAGCCGGGAATGTCGCTACTTCTTGGGCCGCAGGTCGAAGAACAAAAGGCGGCCGCTTCCTTGTCGGTGAGCTTCAGACAGCGGGCAAGAGCTACATGTAGAAATAGGCCTGAAACTCGCCGTGGTGCCCTCGTCCCTGTCCCTGCTGACTCTATAGGTCGACCAGGTGGATATCTGGGTCTAGACGCCTGAATCCAGAGGCCCAGTTTGATGTAGTGGGGAAGGTGCTGGCTTAGAAACCAAGATACTGGGAATTGTGGGCTCCTATTAGGCATGAAAGCCAGCTGGGTGACTCAGCCCAACTTACCTCGCAGGTTTGTTGTTGTAGGGAAAAAATAGGGGCAGGATTATTAGGTATGTTTACTGCCTTGGTTTATAATAAGAAAGCAGCATAAAAATATGATAATGCCCAGGAGCCCTCTCTGTGGGAGATGGGTGGCTAAGAAATAGGAAATAATAAATGCATAAAATGGTAATAACATCTCTTTTGGCAAAAGATGATTCAGCCTGTCGTATCAGTGGACGTGTGCTCTCCCAACTTTCCTGGTTTAAATTTGTAGTTATGGAAAGCCTAGTCTGCTGTGATTTTATTTGAGAAAATGTTGACTAGAAAATATTTCAGAATTTCTGGCATTAAGCTTCTTTATCTACTATAGCTATAGCTTCCAGATATGTTGTGCATTCCATTTGATTGCCAAGGAAAAGTAGATAAAGAAGCTTAATGCCAGAAATTTCAGGACAGAGAAATGGAAGTACATATTCATACATGAATAAATCACTATAGAATTCATATAGCTTAATGTCTATGGAGCCTCTCAATCATCCAGGTCATGATTATCCCAAAAGTGCTTTTCAAAAGGCAGCTGGACTTTCTTGGGTTTTTTTTCTTTGAAAACATTTCTCTTCTCAGCTATGAAGCTTCTTTCAGTTATAGCTGAATGGTGGGGAAAGGAAGGATTTATGTTCCTTAGTAGTCATCTAGAATATAAATTCTTCCTTTTCCTACCATTCAGACAGAACTGAAGAAGCTTCTTCAATGAGAAGTGAAACATTTTCAAGGAAAAAACCAAGAAAGTCCAGTTGCCTTTTGAAAAGCACCTTTGGGATAACGTATAACTTAGATTACTTTTGAATGTTAGACAAATTATTAGAAAGCCTAAATAACTAATAGTCATAATAGCTACATACTGTCTACAATTCAGAGAAAGAGCTATTGTTAGGGTGGAACCTCAAAACATTGTCAATGACCTCATCTGTAATTTTCCTGTAGGTATGTTGGCAGGGGCATTCTAAGAAACAAGATGCTGGCTAAATTTTATCTGTATTTTTCTCTATCACACACCAACATAGCAATAGCAATAGCAGTTAAACTTATATACCGCTTCATAGGGCTTTCAGCCCTCTCTAAGCAGTTTACAGAGTCAGCATATTGCTCCCAACAATCCAGGTCCTCATTTTACCCACCTCGGAAGGATGGAAGGCTGAGTCAACCTTGAGCCGGCGAGATATACATATATTCTCCCTCCCCATGAGCACTCCTGGTTCTGGTTTTACATTCTTCATTAATTCATTCCTAGTCTATTTTTATAGAAATCTTGAACAAGGTTAGATAATGTTATTTACTTCCAATTGCGATCCAAGTTAACGTTTGTTAACGTATATTGAAAATGTCAGTGAAATAATTATGAATATTATTCCATGTATGCAATGCTTTCCTTATTTCATATATATATCCACACACTATATATTAAAATTCAATTTACATCTAGCACAAAATATGCATACATTTTAATACATTCAAGACAAATCATATTTTGTTTTAATCTACCCAGCTCTTATTTAAAATATGTTACAGTGAATATCTTGCCTTAAATAATTTGCTGGGGGCTATTATCTAAACAAAGTCTTGACATTCCAGCTTGTCAGTGAGCACTGACTGCATATCTTTCTATGGATAACTTAATAATAACAGATTTCCTGGATTAATAATGCATTAATGCTCTCAGTTGTAAGCTAGTTATAAAAGCTGGGTATCCAAAATACATTAAGCTAAAAGGTTGCTGGCATTGCTGAAAAATACACACTTAAATGTTTAGTTCAGTTTCCTACAGTTAAATGAACTATTAGTTGTTGGTAAACATACAGAATACATGAAACCGTAATGTTTTTTTAGATTTCGTTTATATTGTTTAGAAAACAATAAGTTCATTAATGCTGTAAAAATCTGCTAAATATGATTTGAATTGCAATAGTTTTATTCCCTAATCAGTAATTGTTATGAAGGCCAGACTATGGCAAATTATAAACTATAATATGAGAGCTTAGTTATGTGAACAACCATAGAAAGAATTGATGGATTAAACTGTGTTGTAGCAGGATAGTTACAGTTAGTCATCAACTTACAATGGATCACTTAGGGTTTATTCAAAATTATGATGGACCCACTTTGAGGGTACTTACAACCCAGATTAGAAATTTGGCTGGTCGGGTGCTCAGCAACTGGATCACTTTTATGGCTATTTGTATAGTCACGTGAATGCATTTTTGCATAAAACTGACATTTACGTCCAGTTGTTTAGCAAACGATTGATTCACTTTACGACCATGGCATTTGCTAAACAAATACAATTGGATTGATCATGATTTTATGACTGTCACAATTTATGACCATGATGGACAGGCTCCATTGGAGTTGACCTGCAACTATTTTCTACTGCACCATTTTTGCATTTGAAGCAAGAACTTTGAATACAATGAGTACAAATATTCCTTGACTTAACAGGTATTCATTTAGCCACTGTTCGAAGGTCCAGTGATACTTTAAAAAATGATAACCAGTCCTTGCATTGGCAACCGTGCCAACATCCCTATAGTCATGTGATCACAATTCGGGCTCTTAGCAACTTGCATGCATTTATGATAGTTGTAGCATCCCAGGGTCATATGATCACCATTTGCAACCTGACCCGCTGGTTTAGGATAAGCAAAATCTATAGGAGAAGCCAGATTCACTTAACAAGTGAATGATTCACTTAACAATTTCAATGTTTCATTTAACAACTGTGCCAAAAAGGCTGCAAAATTGGGTGTAACTCAAAATTGAGTGTTTAGTATGTTAGCTTAATTGTGTGAATTGATCTATGGGTCAAAGAAACAGCTGCAAATTTGAGACCTTCGCACACCTTGCTTTCCATTACAGGCATGTCCATTAGCCAGCTGGAAAGAGGCATCTGCTTGCAATGGAATATCCAGCTGGAGGAGGTGAGAACAAATTAATTTTAAATTTTCTCAGAAACTTCCACCTAGGCCGGGGTGGGTTTGGGGAGGACAATTAATTTTCACAAGGGGCCACACAAGAAACTGGTACTGTTGTGGAGGGCTGCTGCCGCTCTACCCCAGATATCAATGCCTCTTCCATACCAACATTAATGCGGTGGGCCAGACAGGAACAGCCCACAGGCTGAATGTGCCCTGCAGGTCATAAAATGTCCAGGTCAGTTCTATGGTAATGTAATAGATCATTAACTATAACAATTCAAATAATAGTGACCATTTTAAGATTATTTCATGTAATTTGTTTTTTTATTTATTTTTAAGATGACTTGATATTTATTTTATTTATAATCAAGTTGAAAGTGATTCATTCAGACCTTAATATCAAGTACTGTACTACAAATTCTTTGATGTGGTAATATACACAAATTAGTGATCATATAAATGACCTCACACATTTGAAGCCGGGAACTAAACATAAAACAATCACTGATATGTCCATTTTTATGTGTGCCTGGAATCAACTTGCAGTCAAACATCTTTATCCACAGTTAACTTTGAATTTTCTAAATATTGCTTTATAACTTGAATAGCTGGGGAACCTCTCTGACTGGTGTTTAATAAAGTTAAAAAAAGTCAAGAGAGTGAAATAAGTTATATGTTTAGGTAAGCGTAACCATAAATAAATAATTGATAGATTATAAATAGATATCGTATTAATGCTGTAGAAATTCAGCTTTCAATAGCAACAAGAGATTTCCTTCATTTCTGGCATCTTTATTGCTGATTAGCTGATTAACACTTTTTTTTTTGTCTTGCTCTCTTAGAACTTTTTCCTGATAATAAAATTGGCTACAATAGATATATAACAAATGCAGCAAGGTTATGTAGACTGACTGTGGTTTAATTATCTTGTGTTGCAAAAGCTATATACTAAGCCTCTTATTCTAAATGGCTTCAACTTATTTTACTAGACCCTTTAAATCCCCAGTTTACTTGATGAGATAATGTTTATTAGAAAGTCTAGATAATTTTTAAACCATTAATCAGTTCTAGTAGAAATTGGCTGTATTTAGCTAGTCACTGCTACTCTTTGTGAAAGTATGCTCATTTTTGAGTAGACAATACGTTAACTAAAAATAACATTTCTCCATAAAGTATCTGTCAGGTACCATGCATTTTCTACAAATTGCTCGGATATCCAAGCAACTTAGAAGATGAAATACTTTTCAGATAATGCAAACTGTGGCAATTGCACATAGAAATGAAAAGTAAAGATGCAGCAACATTTTTAATTATAATTTTAATCATACACAATTCTAATAAAACTTATTAATCAGCTAAGAATTTTTTAATACTTGACATAAATATGAGCGGATAAAACTTTTAAGAGATTACAACCCAGTGAAAATAATGAAAATAATCCATTAAATGAAAATAATGTATTAAAGAGCACAGCATACATGCTAGATAAAATTTGAAAACAAATACAGTAATGAAAGGAAAAAATGGAATTGTCTCTGGCATAAGTGATTAGGAAGACTATAACAGATAGGGAGCTGTGAAGGAAGGAATGTGGTTTTATTTTAGTAGCAATGTCCACCAAAATAAGCAGGGGTGAGATTCTACCAGTTTGGGCCGATTCAGGCATGCCGGTAGCTCCGAAGATCTGCTGAGCATCAGGTGGGCCCACCCGCCTGCCCCCGGGTTATACTTACTTTTATTTCCTTGTTTTTGAACCCATCTGATCAGCGAGGCAAAGTGGATTGCCACACCTCAGCTGTTTTCCTGTCAACTGCGCAAGAGCGCATGAAGTGAACTGGTTGTTAAACCGGTAGGATGCCACCCCTGAAAATAAGTATCTATAAAGGCAGATGAGAAATTCTAATCTTCATGCAAGACATAGACAAGTACAGGAAGTCACATTTTATGATTTCTGTAATTGTTTCTGTAGCTGTCTAAAATAGCAATTTCTATGTTCCATTTATTCATCAGATTTCTCCTTAGCCATTAATTCTTTTAAAATACTATTTATATCTTTGAAAAAAGGATTAGATTAGGCATACTTCAGTATGCCATCATCAGCTCTATATCTATATAGTTAGTAACCTTTGAGTTCCTTTTTGTAATTCTGGGACAGAAGTTGTAAATACTGTATATAACCGTGATGGCAAACCTATGGCACAGGTGCCACAGGTGGCACCCAGAGCCCTTTCTGCGGGCACTGCAGCCACTGCCCCAGCCCAGCACTACTGCGCATGCACGCACAGCTCCCACCGGCCAGCTGGTCTTCGGGTCTCACATGCAGGGGTGGGGCGCATGCATGGGGGTACTCACATTGCATTTTGGGGCTTTCAGAACATTTTTTTTGCACGCTTTCAGCACACGACAAAAAGGTTAACCATCACTGGTATATAATAAGCTCTTTATGGGCAAGATTGAAACCAAATAATGGTCACAAGTACAGAGATTTAGCCTCAACTTTTAAAAACTGGTACTCCATATTTACATCCATGATAAAACATTATTATTTAATTACTTTCTTTGTCCAACTATAATACAGATATATGAAATAATAGATATATGCTTTAGCTTGAATTTGAAACAAGTACTATCACTAAAAGTTTCCCTTGTGAATTTTTGTATGGAATATTAATGTTTAATTTTAATAATTTTGTATGAGTATTATGTTGTTTTAATTTTGAAATATATTAAGGGCAAAGTGGTCAATCAGCAGTCCACTAACTTTTTTTAAAAAAATATTTTTTAAAAAAACATTACAATTAATGCACTTATAACAATAGGTAACAAACATCCAAACATATGTAGATTCTAAAACTCTTAAAAGAAGACATATATGCTTAGTATAGATTTACAAATACAGAATGAAACAAAATATTTTAACATTGGACATATTGAAGGATATTTTTGAATGGGGATCTCTGAAGATGAGTGTCCACTTCTATAGACTTGACTGTATTTGATATAGAAGTTGGACAAATTTTACCTGACATGATTAAGATTGAATTGAAAGTGGATTTTAAAATGACAAGTTACAAGAATGACATGGAAAAAGATATTACACTGGATATTCAAAAGAAACCAGGTGATGTCTTTTTTGTATATAATTTGTATTAAAAGTTTTAAACAAGAAAATAAACACTTAACAACTATTATAAAGTAAGAAAAAAGAAATAAAAGTGCAAGAAAAAAAGTTGAAGAAAAATGGGAAAAAGATATCAAAATTGACTTGCAATATTTTTCATAGCAGTAATTAGATATATATTTTAATCTCTCCCTCCTTATATTATAGTGCTCTTCTTTCTATAATCTATTGTTATCATCAAAACTATAATTCATAAGTTTATTTTTTTTTTCATTTTTATGCAGAATGTCCATAAGAGGTTTCCAATGAACAATAAATCTAGATAATGTATTTAATCAAAAAGGTTTATCAATTTCAGCAAATATGTCAAATTTTCCCCCTAAATTTTTTATAGTTGGTAAATTACACAAGCTGCTTTTCAATATAATACAGCATTAAAGTATTGTTCAGATTCTTCCTTGAATTCATCAAGAAAAATACCATATTTTTCGGAATATAAGACGCACCTAGATTTTGGAGAGGAAAACAAGGGGAAAATATCTGCCTCTGCCGCCCAGCAATTTGCCTTCTTGCAACAAACAGTACAAACA